TACTCTTCAACCTGCCATACATGAGGCGTTCCCCCTCACACATCCAGATTGGGATTTTAGGACGGCAGAAGGTAGGGAGCATCTTTGAGTCTACCGCCAGACTCTAATGACCGGTCTCCAGGCGGCTGCAAGACGGCCCACTAATCTGGCTAAAGTAAAAACATTTGTTCAGGGAGAAACCGAAAGCCCAGCCGCATATCTGGAAAGGCTATTTGATGCCTATAGGCAGTACACCCCTATAAACCCAGAGGCAGAAGAACACAGGTCAGCTGTGGTTCTCTCTTTTATTAACCAGGCAGCCTCTGATATTAGGAGAAAACTTCATAAGCAGGAAGACCTAGGAGAGATTTCAATCAGGGAGATGTTGCAACAAGCAGAAAAGGTTTTTAATACTAGGGAATCTCCAGAGGACAGGGAGGAAAGGCTAAGGAAGGAAGAATGGGAGATGCAGAAGGAGAAAAATTGTTTAAGATCTTTTCCTGAAACCTTAATCCCTCGTGCTCTGAGGGACTCCTTGAGTCCCTGAAGAAATTGTCCCTGAGAATCCAAAGAGTTGCTCATGCTGTCTGAGAATCGCCCTTGCGTGAGCCTCGGCCGGTCAGTATAAGTGCTGACACACACCCGACAGACCCGGTCGCCTGTTAGTAACCATAGATCTTCGGTGGATGGCTTAGAAGGAACAAGTACACCGCTCCTCCTACTCCAAGCAAGCTGGCAATTTCTCAGGAGCTGGGGTCCCTCCCTATTGTGGGACTGAGAATCTCAAGCACTAATAATGCCTGTCTATTGGGTGTGTCAACCTTACCTTCTCTTCTACCGATCAGTCTCACGGTGGTCGTTCCGTGGCAATCTCGGGGGTTCGTGGGGGGTGCCTGCGCAGGCTCTCTGTGGTTGACGTTCCTCTCGGTGGTCTTCCTCGAGCCCCACATTAGGCGCCAGAGATGCCCCGACCCACAGAGCAACAGCGTGGGGCACCGAGACTGAACCTGGAGGAATGAATAGGCAGGGGGCACGAAGAAATGGAGACAAGACAGTATTCTGATCAAGTCTCTTTTATTGAGCAATCACACAGTGTTAATATAGTAAAGCGGAGGGTGGGGGAAGGTAAAGGGTGGAGAGAAGGTGGGGGGAGTGGAAGTCAGCAAGGCCCTGCTGGGGAATTTCCACTAGAGTCATGAGCCCTGGTGGTTTCACAAGATAAGGAAGTAAAATGTAGAAAAAAATCAGGGCAAGAAAAACATGTTTTTACAAGGCCACCTGGTTGTTTCAAACTGGGGCAGGGGTACACTTAAGGCTTGGCCTCCAACATCTCCTCCCTTCTACTTTAATAAAGGTAGTCCAGACTCCTCCCGTGAGGCTCTATAGTTCTCACAGTTTTTGCTCTTGGTACTTTTGGGGAGGCGAGGCAGAGCAGTGAGGGACCTTTGGGTCCCTGCCCGTGACTGTGCCCCTGTCTTAGGTTGGAAGGGATCTCCCCCAAATCATACACCCATCATGGGATGAGGCCGCAGCTTTGGCGGCCCTCCTGTCTTAGGTGTTTTAGTGAGGGGGCCACTTCTCTTACCCATCTCTGGCTGCCAGTCAAGCTCGGCGGGCAAAGATGAATGTACCAACCTCATGCTAGTCTGGTTTTTGATGGAAGT